AGGAAATCAGACCTCTTCAAAGTAAAGCAAAGGGAGAATGAAATGCTGAGGGAATTCGTATCCCGATTTCAAATGGAACGCATGGAATTACCCCCGGTCACAGACAATTAGGCCGTACAAGCTTTCACCCAAGGGTTGAACGAGCTAAGTTCGACAGCATCACATCGGCTGAAATAAAATTTGATCGAGTATCCAGTGATAACTTGGGAAGATGTACACAACCGATACCAATCGAAAATTAGGGTCGAGGATGATCAGTTGGGAGCTCCGTACGGACCCGTTCATCAGAACAGGACAGTTACTAAAAACAAAAAGGAGATCGACAGAGAATAAAGGTCGAGCAGAGACCGATATCGACTGTACGTCGCAGATCGGGTGAACAATGGTTCAGCACGCAATGCAGTTCGGAACAATCGAAGGATTGATCGAAGGCAAAATTCTCTGGGGCTTATGAGTAAGAGCGGCTTCGATAAATATGCCGATCCTATAGAAGCACCTCGATTATCAGAATATAACTTCAGTGTTGGTGCATCCGCTATCGTATCAGCCATCGGACGCATCAAAGACACTAAATGGCCTCAACCCATGCAGACCGATCCTGCCCGAAGAAATCCCAATCAAACGTGCGAATATCATGGTACCCATGGCCACAGAACGGAAGATTGCAAACAACTAAGAGAGGAAATAGCTCGCTTATTTAACAAAGGGCACCTTAGGGAATTTCTGAGTGATAGGGCGAAGAACCATTTTAAAAACAGGGATTTCAGCAAGCAAAACGAGCAAGAAGAACCGCAACACATCATCCATATGATCATCGGCGGCATCGATACCCCTCAGGGACCAGTGCTTAAACGCACTAAAACATCGATGGTGAGGGAAAAACGATCTCAGACTCAAGATTACGCACCCATGGGGACTTTGTCCTTTGATAATGAAGATGCAGAAGGGGTCATCCAACCTCATAATGATGCACTTGTAATATCCGTACTCATGAATAAAACTAAAATTAAGCGTGTGTTAATCGATCCAGGTAGCTCGGCCAACATCATCTGATTGAAGGTAGTAGTGCAGCTCGGCCTATAGGATCAAATCATACCCGCGACTCTGGTTCTAAACGAGTTCAATATCGCATGTGAAACCACCAAAGGTGAGATAATCCTACCAATAAACGTGGCCGAAACCATCCAGGAAACAAAGTTTCACGTGATCGAAGGCGATATGAGATATAACGCCCTTTT